ATGCTGAGATCTAACGGCCAAGATCTAATTGTCGAAGGTCATGTCGTTTCAAATCAGAGAAAAATTTCATGTGGCTTTTTAGGGCTGGAAAAAATGCATTCAACGACAGGAGAGGCAGCGGGCAGATGTACTCTCTCCTGGATTCTGTTCTTGCAGACTACTTATATTTTCCACTGGAGGTCAGAATCATACTCATATATTTAAATGAAAGAGCCCGTATAATAATAGCATATACTGGCGACACTTATTTTGGGCATATGCTGAGATCTAACGGCCAAGATCTAATTGTCGAAGGTCATGTCGTTTCAAATCAGAGAAAAATTTCATGTGGCTTTTTAGGGCTGGAAAAAATGCATTCAGCGACGGGAGAGGCAGCGGGCAGATGTACTCTCTCCTGGATTCTGTTCTTGCAGACTACTTATATTTTCCACTGGAGGTCAGAATTCGATGCCCGATTCTTCGCGGATTGGCATTTTCTCTTTGTTTTTCTCAATTTATATTTTTCTCTGCCTTCCACGGATTGGTAGGTAAATCTGGAATTATGAATGCTTCTTTTCTTAGCACCTCCAGCCAAGAGCAAGGAGAAGAAGAAGATGGTGCTGCATCCTCCGGTTATTATCCTCCAGTGATTCTCAAGGAGCCACACCAAAACTCTGGAAGAGGTTAGCAGTAGAACTTCTCATCGATTAATGGGAGGCAACTCAATATACCTGACTATAAACCATGGAGGCACTCTTCTCGTAGCCCAGAAAAAATTCCAGAGAAGTGAAGAACCAATCTGGAACGACAACCAGCTCCAGCATCTGAGTCATCTCCTCTGGTTCCTCAGACGATGAGCTGCTCAAGGTCTTGTTGCTCATTCTCGTCAGGTAATGTGCAGGTGTGCTACAATCTTGAAAACTCATGTAGAAAAGGTTTTGTGGACAGTGAGGGTGTGAAGAGTCTTAATATTTCTGTGGAAGGTCTAAGTCAAGCTACTATACTATGTAGCACTAACTCTGTGACGAAGAGCGTGTCTATGAAACTAAGATGGGTACGACTTCTTGTTTGGAGGTAAATCATTTTTTTTAATTAATCACGTATGTTACTAATCAAGTGGCATGGCAGGGTGCTGGAAAGACCTCCATATTATGCACTGTGGTGGCATAGCATGAACACTGATATCAACAATTTTTTTTTCCAGACATCAAGTGTCATGAAAGCGTTTCATGCAGTGTAGGATACATAGATTCAGTAGGCGTTAACTTTCAGGTAAAAATTTCTTCCTTACTCTGCTTTGATTGGTTTACCAATTGGTTCTATATAGGACCTATCATATGAAGAAGAGCAGCTGAAGAATGGTTTGTTGAGAGCAGATCCATATAAAGCCTTGACTTGGTAATTATCGTGCACAATCTGGCTCACAAGAGTCCCAGGCTGCGACAACAGGCTGCCGATCACTCTCGACCAGCTCTTGGCACCCTCCTGGACGAGATCACTACTGCTGAGGTCCCTTTTGTTTTAGATCTTGCCATAAGTGCCGACTGGCATCAGCTTTCAAGCGTTACAGCCATGGACGTGTACAAGTCCACTCCCGACTTGACAAAGTCCCAGGAACTGCAGAGACTGGGACATCGTTGGAGGAAGGTCTCTTTTTTATATCGATTTTTTGTTTTCACCATTTTTGCAGAAAAAATTATTGGAGATTTAAAATCTCCTACAGATCAATGGGTGGCAAAAGAAAGAGGAAAACATGTGATCTAATTTTACATGAAGGCTGTATAATAAAAAAAAGTTCAACAACTTTGAATTCATCTCTATATATGAATAGAAGCATGGATGTAAGTGTGAGAAACCTGGTATCCTTTGAAGAACCCCCAACAATTCCAAGATTGATACCCTCTCGAAAAGCCTTTTACCACAGCTTTTTCTGTCATTCATTTCTTCACTTGGGGCAGAGTCATTGCACTTGAGGATAAAAAATTACAGAGTCATACCGATATGATAGCCCGGGTTAAAAGATTACAGAGGGTGAATCTCTTTTGGCAAGATGGCCGGGGAAAAACTCAGTATCATGGCTCTCTATGATGGCACGATGGCAAGCTTGAGCAGGCAAAGTACAAGAGGCCCATGTAAATGATGTGAAACTCCATGGTGGTGGGCTTTGCTCTCTAGACAAGGACGGGAAGCTCTAGAGCTCTTCCATGCCATGGCCTTGAAATAGGAGGAGATCGCTTTCGTGAACGTGTGGCAGTCCTTGGAGTCTTTGGAGTCTGCAGCCATGGCTTGAATCTCACTGCAGATCACTTCAGCAGCATGTGTTTGCAAGGGCCGGGAAGCTGAAGGATTCCAAGGGGATGCTGGGCAAGAGGAGTGAGAGAGTCTGTTGGGAGCTTGTTGAATGTACTGGGATCTAAGCACTGCCTTGCAGACGGCACAGGAGTTTGGTGGTTGTAACAAGGATCTTTTTTCATATATAATGCTTGCAAAAGGTGGCAGTTAAGTTTTTTGAAGTGTTTTGT